AGTAACGCCCTAACGATGGCCCCGACATAACCTCTCATCGACGACTGCCGAACGGGCGCGGAGGAAAGCGAATTAAATTAACGAGGGACTCGCGTATAGGGACGATTGTACGTTCAAGTTTTCCGCCTCTTCCTTTCTCATCGACGCCCGAATGGATACGCAAACGAACGTCAACCTGCCAACGCGGCCGCAAATGACGCTGCGAAACGTGAACTCGGGCAATGCGTTCTACATGCCTTTAACGTCGTTCGCAGGTAAACAATCGCTCGAATACCATTTGTCCCATTTATGACCGATCGCAGTCGAACTGTAACAAGCGACTTGGACCGGGCTCCGATCTCCACTTGATTGGCGATTAACTCAATTAACAGGCTCACCCGCGGCAAGATTTCAAAATTACGTCTAGCTCGCTATAGCCTCGGTTTCCAAATCTCCCTTTAACTGACAGTTCCATTTGTTGACAGAATACCTACTGCAGTCGCTACCCCGACAAGTTATTCGCCGATTGACTTGATTGAAGCGCGATCCGAAGTCGCCTTATCTAAAAAATATCTAAAATTGTGAGTATTGTCGATCTCTCTACTTTTCAGAGATGTGGTATCAGATATTTCTCTGGGCCCTGTTCTCCTCGATATTCGTGCACACTATCGCCGGCGCGATCTGCTTCGCCACCCTGCGACAGCACAAATACGGCAAGTACGTAAGTTTGTTTCCTATCTGGGGCGGGGTGGGAGGAGGAAGAAAAATGGCTCGATTCACGACATTACGTATATATCCACAGATTCTTTCCGCTGCTTATCATAATAATGGGCGTACTGTTGCCGCTGACGTCGGGCGTCGTCAGCTCGGCGGCGGTCGCCTTCGTGTACAGAGCGTCCGGCTATCAAATGCCGCCCTTGTACGCATTGTTTTGGGGTATCGGGCAGACCGTGGTACCGGTGTCCGTCGGATTCACGCGAATCTTAGCGACTTTGTAACCTGTCGTTACAGAAACTGCACTTGTGATATTTACGTGTACATATAAAAATGGCGGTCAAGTTCTTTCTTTCTTTCTTTCTTTTTTTAATTATACATATGTACATACATAGGTAAGTCTATTGTAGGCATCCAATTGCATTGACGTTTATTAGTGAACCGAACTGTAAATACGGCAAAGATTGTAATGTACTGAGAAGATAAGTATTGCGAGAATTTCGCGATAAGAAACAAACGCATTTATCGAATATTGCAGTGAAAGCGTCACAATTATTACATATATATATATATATAGACATAAATTAGGTCACGGTCTGATTTTTTAAATTGTAAATATGTATATTGTATATTTTATTATAAAATACAACGTTAATTGATATATAACAAATACTTTTACAGAAAATGGGTCTAGACTATATTACATTATTCATATTATACAGCATTTTTGCGTAATCCCTCTCAAGATTTGTCTATTTTCACATGTTGCTTGAAATTGTTCGCAATGTTTTTTATGTCCACCAATCCTTCCTCCAAGGCCCTGGAGGCTTCCATTTTTGCGTTTTCGTCAGGAGAGCTTAGCAAATTCAGTACTAAATCTAGAAAAAGCGCAATATATTTTCAATTAATTATATTTTACTGTAAAGAAGCTCTTTTTTTCCAAGGATAGTCTTATAAATCGTTACGTACCGTGGTATCTAGCAAGAGTCGACATCGTATTGGGCTCCAAGTGCTGTTGAAGGAACGCGAGAACCGTTGTTACGTGTCTGCCAGACATGTGTAAGGCGTTCTGCGTGACAGCGGTGAAGAGCACGCTCGTAACTAGGTGTAACGTTAACGCGGGATCTTGCGTGGCGTTCAGCTCCTCCAGCAGAGCCTCTCTGTGTGCGTGCACCTGCGGCCGCTCCTTTTTTTTATCGTACTTCTTCAGGACCAGACAGCAGGCTGCCATCGCCCCGTCGACGCTGTTCAAAAAGTCCTCCACCGAATCTCCCATCACCGTCCTGTGGATAGCGGTCAACGGCTCCTTAACGTCCGCGGGCAATTCGAGCAGCAGTCTTTGCCTCGTCTCCGTCGTGAGATTTTCCGCCACTTGCAGCATGTTCTGTTGAGCAGCCAATTTAAATATACTCGTCACAAAATCGAGACCTAGAGACTTGAGCAGGTACTTGGTCAGTGAAGCTTGATCCGCCTTGTCCAGATGTTTGATACCTTTGTCGAATATTCGAATGTTCGTTATCAGAACGTTCAGGCGTTCGCCGATCTCGCTCAGGTTCGTGGTCTTGTTGGATTGCGCCAATTGCTCCGCCAACGACAACGCGGACTTGTTCAATTTCGTTTGCAAATAGTACGCTAATTCGTCCGCCATTTCCTCGATAACGGATACGTTCTCGTCCTTCATGACCTCCGCTTTCACTTCCTCCACGGATATCAACGTAATCTCACCCTTTCCGACCGTTGTCTGCCTCGCGTCGTCGTCTTCGTCAGAGTCATTTTCCTGCGTCTTTCCCTGAAGATATTTCTTCTTCGTAGACTTCGTCCTGGTTTCTCTGCCTTGACTACCGCCCCCCGCTTTACCAACAGTTGCCTTTTTCCTTCGTTCCTCCTTTTTGCTCACTTTACTCTCAACGATCACGTCCGCGGATTTAGATTTCAATTTACTCTCGACGACAGATTGAATCCACTTTCCGCTGGCTACCATGTCCCGAGCCTTTTGCTCCGCCACGGCTTCGAGGGACTTGATTAAAGTCTGTAGAAATGCCTCGGAGACCACAACCGTCTTCGCGAATATATGCACATTGACCCTCGTCTTCTTCGTGGCTAATTTGAGAAGAAGTTCCGCGTCTTCGTCGCTAAACACAGACGGCAAGAGGGGATACAGATCGACGAAGGATCCGGTCGCAACGGCCTCCTCGA